CGTCAAAATCAAGATATTTACCAATTTGGCAGACGAAAAAAAAAAACAACAACAAAACAAAAAACAAAAAACAAAACAAAAAAAAAAAAAAAACAACAAAAAAAACAAAAAAAAAAAAAAAACACACAAAAACAAATCAAACAAACAAAAACCAACCAAACAAACACACGAACAAAAAACATAATTTTGAAATCTGAACAGTTATATTTTTTCTAAAAGTATTATACATATTTCTTTTTTTCTAGAATGCAGAAAAATCTGTTAATTATATGTAGATAAATCCTATGAAATCAATTTCAACTTAATTTGAATATACGGAGTTCCATATTTATCTGACATTTCATTCAAAATATCCTTCCTTAGTCAGTTAACATTATCATTATAACCAAACTCTTTTTCGATAAACATTAATAAAACATAAGTTAAAATATGAATATTTTGAAATCCTAAAATCAACAAATTTAAAAATGCGTGAGTTATCGATCATCATTTTGCATGAAATTTCCATGTAACGGAAAATGTTTTAATTCATTTATAATTTAATCCATACAATATTCACAAAAATCATGAGTAAACAGGGTCCTCTCTTCAAGTGAGAACGATTACATATGTTCTGTTGCTAATGAAGAAAAAAAAATCAATCTGGTTCTGTAATATCAGACAATCAATTCCTTCCACCTTATCAGCATTGAATTTTTTGGTTCTTTATGGAGATGAATTATGTCAAATAAACTAGAGAACTTAATTATTTCTATCTATCCCAAAAGGAGAAGAACTTGTAAGTTGTAAGAAGTTGTTTCTGACCCTTTTGTGTTAAACAATAAAATATGTTCAAATCAAATACAGAGTATTTCAACAAGTTGAAAAAAAAAGATTACCTGACGTTTCTTTCACACAGATCAAAATATCATCTGTTAATTTAATGCTCAAACTATCTTGTGAAAAGTACCATTAAAATTGGAATAAAGTTAGGAAACAAAATTTTGAAAATAGAATCAAAATAAGAAAGTTTGTAAAAATTCCACAATAAAATGTAAATAAGAAATTGAAATAAAATTGAAAAATCAAAACAAGAAGTAAAAATTAAACTAAAATAATCAAATTATTCAGAAAAAATTGGGAAAACAAGAACTTTAAGAATAGAAATTAAAAAAAAAGAAGAAAAATGAAACTTTTCAAAACAAAATTGGGAAAAAAAGAATGTAAAAGGTGAAGATAAATCATATATCCAATTAACAAACTAAGAATTAAAAAAGAAATAGAAATAAGATTATTTTTGAAATATTATGATTCTGATATCCCTCATTATATGTTGAACCAACATGTTAATTATTATAGGATTGACTATATAAATTATTTTGTTCATTGAGAAATGAATCTAAAAAACGAATCGCACACTTTTTTATGAAAGCCGAAGCCGAAGGCTTTCATTAAAAAGTGTGCGATTCGTTTTTTAGATTCATTTCTCAATGAACAAAATAATTTATATAGTCAATGCTTATAATTCAATTTCAGTGAAAAACATGTAACTTTTCATGTACATACTCATTATTTAGCTAACTCAAAAATTGTGCACGAAATTCACATGCCGACAGCTGCGTAGAAATATATCGATTGGAAATACTCCGGAGCGGATCTAAAAGCCTGTAGTACAAAAGGCGGGTATAATTTTCTTTTAAAAGTTATAAAAATAGAGAATTTCCCGTTATGTTGTATTGTCTTTATAATAATTTACTAAGTTATCGATTACGTAACTTATGAAAATCTGCACATGCAATTTTAAAAGCGATTACAACATAAAACCATGAAGCAGACAGAAACGTGCTTTGTTGTCAGTTAGCAAACGGTCAACGGTGACAAGTCCAGTGGAGTGCAATGGAATATTAAAAAGAGATATCTTCAGGTTAAAATCTAGAAATAAACTTGCTTGTCGATACGCCTTACTACATGTAAAACTGATTGACAGTTAACATGGTTAATATACCATGTATAGAGTTGATGTGCAGACGAAATACGTGAGAATGTGAGAATAACACTCACATCAGGAAAACTTAGTCTAAGGTCATTCTTATTTTAACATTAATTTTTTATATCCTATATAATATGTTTTTTCTAGTTTGGTTTTAATTTGTACTAAATTTCATGTAAATTGTTACTTGTTACAAATGAAAAAAAAACTCAAAACACGTGCTTCTTTAAAGAGTTACATCCCCTGCTATCCCCGACATTACCCACTGACGACATTTACCTCGCTGAATAATTTATTTGAATATTTTTCTTTTCTCTACTCAACAAGAATTTTTATTGTATAATTTTAAAATAGAAACACATGATTAAAATATTTCCTTTAAAGCATACGAAGAGAAACAAAAGATATACAGAAGCTGAATTGAAAAAAGAAAAGAACATAATCATTCATTTGAGAGAGTATTAGTTTATAACACAATCGCATTACTATTTTTATTGGAAATACAAACACTGACAATCATCGTATCAAAACGTACAGTGAAAAGTAGTTCGGTACTAACGTTGACATTACAATCATCGGAAAATGAACAGAAAAAATTCTCCGTAGAAATACATTTGGTCAAAGTGATGAAGGTAAAGAAAATTGAATTATTAATTATTAATCATTTTTAGCTCTACTGGTCCGAGACCAGAGCAGCTTATGCGAAGGTGTGGTGTCTGTCTGTCTGTCCGTAAACAATTTTTAAAAACGTTACTCCTACAGTTTCAGTCCATTTTCGGTATAACTTAGTACACATGTAGACTTAGATACATATCTGTGTATTTTTGATTTCGACAAACGAAATTGCCATGATTGCTAAGAATAGAATTTTTTGAAATGTTTTCAAAATGCTATTCCTACACATTTGGTCTATTTTCAATAAGACTTGATACACAAGTTCACTGTACTAAGATACACACAACTCTGTGTATCGGTTATTGATTTTTATTAAATATAGGAATTTGTTTGAAATTCTCTCAAAACGCTACTCCTCCTACAGTTTTGGTCCAGTTTCAATAAGACTTGGTACACAGGTACACAAAACACGTACTAAGACACAGAATTCTTTATATCGGCTTTATATCGGTTTTGGATTTTGACAAACGTAGTTGTCATGGTTACTGAAAATAGATATCTGTGAAATTCTTTCAAACGTTACTCCATTTACAATTTTTTAAGATTCAATATAACTTGGTACACAAGTACACTGTACTAAGAAACATGATTTTGTGTATCGTTTTAGACTTCAACTAACAGTGTTGTCTGGGTTACTAAACAGAGAAATTTCAAAACTTGAATCCTACAGTTTTGGTCCAATATCAGTTAGACTTGGTACACAGGTACACTATTCTAGGATACACCAAGAACACACTGGTAGAACTTCAATTGATTGGATCAATGCTCAAGAGCATGTTCCAAGTACTATGAATTTTTAGTAAAGGTACGTTTCTGAGGCTTAAATTGATGTAACGGGGGTTTCAACGATTTTGTTTTAAGTCAACATTTTGCAAATTTTATGGTCGTTATAGTGACCATGCTTGCAAATACAATCTAACTTTAAGTCGTATTTTGACTGAAATGATTCCCACCAATTGTTAGGCCATTGTTTTTGTATCATTTTGACTATGAATTACTTGTCTCTACCTTGATCGATACAGAGGGCTCACGGCGGGGCGAGTGTGCCTGGTCCACAGGGGATGCTTACTTCTCTAAGGCACCTGATCCCACCTCTGGTGTTTTCAGAGATCCGTGTTTTTGCCCTGTTTTCGTTTCCTATTCTTTATTGGATATATGAGATTGATCTGTGTTCCGTATCTTAACCCTCTACATTGTGTTCAGTGGATAAATTAAAATTGTAGTTAAGATAGATATTCTCTTCGGGAAATGATGAAATGACATCACTTCAAAAATGAATACAGTGTACATAAATGTGGTTTTTATATTCAAAGTTTTTTAGAAATCATTTTTTCAGAAGAGAATAAGATTGAGAGTGACGGTACCGATGAATGTTTGCATATAACAATTATAATTAATCTGAGGCTGTTGCTTTAGGAAGTATCACTGTGCGATCAATATATGCGCCACGGTGCAATAAGTTCCAATATTCTTTCCGTTCTTGCATCTATTGAGCAAAATGAACGGCACTTAATGAAATTGTCATGAGCTTTGTACAATATCGATTTTCTGCATCAACTTCATCACAAATCGAATTCTAACACCTCGTAAAAGGATAACATAGGAATGACCAATTTATTAGAAAAATTCAATTAGATTTTAAATATTTTATTTTCATCCTAATACATGTAATATATTCAGGAAAGTTGACTTTGCTATAAACCTCAACATTATTATCAACCATTTTTAGAAAGCTTCAGTCTTTTATGTTCATTAATCAGCAATCGTTACAAAAAATATTTTTGTCTTCAAACTAGATTTACCTGGCTTTAGAAATACCTGTGAGGGTGTGTGTGTGTGTGTGTGTGTGTGTGAGTGTGTGTGTGTGTGTGTGTTTTAGGTTACCTAGTCTGCATAATCTGTTTCTTTGTTTCTTTCGACAAGCTTGGTTTGAGCTTTTTTATTAATGTTTGTTGTTTCCAATATGTTAATGTTAGATTTCTTGAAGAAGCTCATAAAGCTGCAACTCTGGATAGAGGGACAAACTTGCGTTTTTTCTAGGCACTTATTTAATTTTTCTTGTTTTTTTTTTTTAAATCTTACTATTGTTCAAGATCTGGGGATTGTTGAGATACTTATTTGCAAAATGTCAACTGAATCATGGTCATTTGAACAAGAGATTTTTTAATTCTTTTACAAAATTTGGAATTATTATCGTTTTTCAACTTTGTTACGGATCATAAACTACGATACGTAATTGCAATGTGACAAACATGAAAAATTGATAGGTCGTATTATTTAAAAGCAATTATCTTTATACTCGTAAAGAAATCAATACTGTATTGAACAAGCATCAGTTGTTATTCAGAACGATAGCTTCTCTGTGACATATACTGTTTTCTGGGAACAGTTAAGAGACACAGTAACTATAAAAACAAGAACCTTCACAGAAGAAGATATTGCTACCTGTTTAGGTAAGTACTTTATCTCTGCATGTTTTATATTTTTTTAACTAGTCGGTTTTATTTCTTGCAAGAATAATCATATCTTTGTTGTTCTGCTTAAAAATCTTTTTTTTTCAAATGAAATTTGTAATAATAGACGTCTTTGATACTCCAATATTAAAAGTCATATTATTATCAATATACTTGTAGATACAGGTTTCTGATAACGATTTGATACTTGTTGATTGGTTGAATAACAGGTCAACTATTTGATCGATTCTTTGACTGATTGTTGGCATTATTTATAAATAAAATAAGGTTTCAAATCTCTCACTTAATTAAATTCTTCCAAAGAATTTCAAAGAAAATAAAACATAAAATTAATGTTTCCATAAAAAAAAAATCTCTGCATTTATGTTTCAGAAATAGAATGAGTACCGATTGACTATAAATTTTTTTTAAAAAAATGTAGCTTTTAATGAAATTAACCCATTTCAAAGTAGGTGGAAAGCATTTGGAAAAAATGTGTAACAATCACGCCGTTGCAATTAGCGCTATTTTTTTTATTTACTTCTCTTTTCAAGAAACTAATTTTAAAAAGCTGCAAGGATAAATTGATTGACTTATCTTCTGCGTAGAAAATTATTCTGAAAGAGAAATAAATCACATCTGATTACTATTGACACAAACTCAATATTATTTTGATACAACTGCCATTGCAATCCATATCTCTGAAAAAGAGAGGGGGGGATACCCACATATCTTGTTACCTTTTATATACCATTCTAACATAATATTTTAAGGGGATGAAGGACACATGGTCACATGACTCTGTTTAACTACGTCATAGTCTCCGTTTATATAAGTGCAAAACGTGTACAGCATCAGTTCTTGTATAATTTTTTGACAATTTTTTAACTTTAATTACCATCTTAGATAAAAAAAAAATAATAGTTTTAACATTCTTGTAAACAATAACAAATTATGAAAAAGATTGATCCACTCCTCTGTTTCCCTAAACTGCGCGTCCAACAAGTCGGTGACGTCATACACGATCTGTTAGTACAGCAAGATCATACTCGGTGAACAGAGGGGCGGTATTAATTATGTAAAAAAAGGTCATAATCAGTATATGATGAAATATTTTGAGAAAAGGGGAAAACAAAAATTATTTTTGCATGGCTGATGACGGAAATCTTATGTAGGTATATCTTATTTCGCTTATTTAGCTTACGTGTGACGTCATAGTTGGTTTTTTCCCGTACTCGAGAAATGTAACATGACACGTTTTTGTCATGCTTATGTCGTCTTTAACGATGCCCTGTGCAATATTGAAGTCAGCTTCACCATTCGAAATTTTTACAGTTAATTAATAATTTGAAGGATTTGCATTTCAACGTAAATTAAAAAATATTGAATGATAGAATTTTTTGTAAATTACGTTTTTTATTGTTTTAGTTGTCTTAAAAAGTGCATAATTTTCCCTATCCAGATGCAGTGTGATAGACAAAACTTGCTTTTTCGAATTTTAAATCCTAGTTATACTCTGAAATATTTTAAAAGATACATGTCCACTTTGATATTTTTTATGTATGCTTAAAAAATACCATTATGGACAGAGTAATGCGCCCGGAAACCTGGAGAATTAAAACTCCACTTAGATACTGTAGGGCATAGTATTTGTCAATCAATATCTCCAAAATAAGGTAAGAAACCTAATGATATAACTGCTTGAAGATATGTGGGACATACTTAATTAGAAATATACAAAATATGAAAAAAATTGAATGACAAGTATTTTTTTTAGCTCAAGGTCCTTCTCCTCCTTAAATACACTATAGCATTTGTTGATCTAATATAATTAGTTAAATCCTTGCAAAATAAGCTTTTTTTATCAAACTTATTTTTGCTTAAAATTGTTTGAATTCATTTGTTTTACTGACTAAAGACTTTAATGGCTAACTAACAACTGAACTACTGAGTATATTATAAATGGGATGACTTCAGCTGTTTCATCGTCAACTTCCCCTCTTTATGTAGTAATATTCCACTGTCGCCTGCATAGTTCGGTACGCAAAAGCATTCTCTGAGTACGATGAATTTTCCAAGCGAAGCAGACTACTTACAAGTAAGCTGTTGTTACATGGTTTTCAAATAAATATCTCGCATTTCGGAAATACCATGGTTGTTAAAATGAACTTAAATACAACATATCGTTGGATCGTTTTTTGACTGACATGTTTCCCACCAACTGCAAATGCATTGTTTTCATTACAATCTCCGTTTACCCGATCGATACAGAGGGGTAAAGGCGGGTTTGAAAGATCGAAGGGGACGTTTACTACTCCTGGGCACCTGATCCAACTTCTGGTGTTTCCAAAGGTCCAGTTTTTTCTCCTGTTCACAATTCGTTTTTTTTTTTACTAGATTTATGAAATTGATCACTGTTTGTCATCCTCATCTTTTTCATGCAATAATTCTTACTCAGAATTAAGTCGAGAAAAGAGGATTGGGGTTTCATTTTTTTTTAAATTATTATAGAACTCCCACAAAAAAATAAGAAAGAAAAAAGGGGAAAATACATGCATCTTCCATAAGCAAGGTTTAAATGGCCGAATTATTATGAAAGTATCCTTAAGTAGTGTAAATTCAAAATTGATTAATTCAAAATCCTTGCCATTTAGACAAAGGGGAGATGCTTTTCTGATCTAAAGTGTTAGAAAGGAGTAGATCAGAAAAAGATTATAAATACGGTGTGGTGAAAACTTAGAAAGTTACACTCAGACGACCGTTAAAACCCTTGGTCAACTTAAAAAAAGACCAGTTGCACGACTCCTTGATATTGTCCAATACATCTTAATTGCCTTTATAGATACTATTGACTGAGAAGAGTCACTTCTGCAATTGTACAATACATTTCTGATCACTGATGTTAATATACGGGGTGGATTGATACACATGTATTGCTTTAACCTTTTTTCTTGTATACTTTTTTGTGTAACAAGTTAGTTTATGATGGCATTTATTTATCATATTATTATTTTTTAAAATAAATTATGGATGTTCTTTTTTGAAGAAATGTTTAATCCTATTTGAAATGAGTGCATAAAAATTAAACGGATTTAAATCAACTTGTGAAAACTTAACTTGCAATCTCGAAAAACATATATTTCATGTATCTCTGATTCCAAAAAGTCATTTGCATGTATGCTGATAAAATGATATCACATTTCATTTTGCAGTCATGTCAATTTTGATAATCTGAATTATTAATATTTTGGTAACAGAGAATAAAATAGTTGAATGCCGAAAAGTTCCTCTATCCAGCAAATGAATTAATACGTTGTTTGGTTTCCAGGTAAAAAAAAACTTCGCTTACATTCGCAATTTAATATCAACTTATCGATCATGGGTGTCAATTTTAAATAGTCGATTGACTTACTTTTTATGCTCGTTTGTTCTCTTTTATCTCCAATTTTGTGATTATTGAAGTATTGATTATGATATTTATCTGTTACTCATTAAAAAATAAAAAAAAAAAAATCTTTTCATTAGTATTATTTTTAAACCATAAAATTACTGATCAATGTCTGGAAAAGAATTCAATGCATGAAATATAACCCGTTCAGATATAACGTTTCCCTGAACATGCAATTCATGGATATGTGAACCTGCGATATAATTATTACGTATCCTTTTCAGTTTTTATATTCGAAACTTTATAAGAATACTTTATAGAATACTTGCTGTTGCTTATACCATATAGCTGAAAATATATATAAAGGTGAGCAGTCTGTATTAAAGGACTGAAAAAAGTACATTGGAATTCAGTAGATTTATAAATTTCTTATTAACTTTTCCCTTAGTACACTCATTAATTATACTGTATACGTATTTTTTCACTCGGGGGATTAATTTAAATTATGTACGGCCATAGAAATGTTGAATTTAAATGAGACTGTTGATATCCTTGTTTCATCAACTTATTTGTCAATAGCTTGTCTCGTTTCAGAAATTGTTCGTAAGTAGAGCATGTTCTTGAATATCGAAACAACTGGGAGACATAAAGTCCATATGTAGGTGATAATTGTATATTGCTACACAAATAACGGAAGTTTACGATAGAAAAGTTGAAGTCATCACGTTTATCATAAAGTTTTGTTGTTATGTTACCAATAACGTCTTTTTCCAGTAAAATATCCAAATAGGAAACAGATGTGTCAGACTATGTGCTATTCTTTATTTTGAGTTCAAAGGGATATATGTAATCAACGTAGAAATGAAATGAATATTGTAAATAGATAAAACGTCATTTAAAATTGAAACCCACATCAAGAGACTTCTTCTTTTCATGTAGAAGTTTTTGAATAAATTCTGCTTCATATGAATACAAAAATAGGTCTGCGTATAATAAGGTACAATTTGTACCGATGGAAATTCCAAAACATTGTTGGATGACTTGATCTCCTAAAACTACATAGAAATAATATTAATCAGACACTCAAGCACCTTTTTAATATCAACTTCAGAGTACTTGTGTGTACAATCAGAATGTTTTTAACAAAATAATTTTGCAAATGACCTATGACAAGGTATGTAAATTTACTAGTTCCATTTTTATTGAAAAAGCAGCTGTCTATGATGTCAAAAAGCCTGGACTTTATTTTATCATGGGGAATGGTTGTATAAAGTGTTGAAAAGTTGCATGTTTTTAAGCATTATGCATTTAAGACCTACAATGGTAGTCCAAAAATGCGAGTACTTTCCCACCCTCGGGATGAACAGAAGTTGTAAGACCCCCGTGGGAAAATGTACGTTTACTGTATTTCGTGGGAAAATGTACGTTTTCTGTATCTTGGTGTGTTTAATAATACCTTAGTCAATCAACCCCAATATTTTGTTAAAGTTAATGATGTAATTATTTTAATTATTTTTACCAGGTACTTATCATGGCTAACCTGACAACAAACTACACCAATGTAACCCCTTCTGTGGCTACAGAAAATTCACTATGGGGTAAAATAATGGACTTCTATTCCGACAATAACAATATGGCTATGTATCTGGTCCTGCCATTAATTGTCATTGTGTATGGTGGATGTAGTTTGATATTCTGTATTCACAAATGTATGCAGTATTGCAAAAAGACGAAGAGAAAGAAGGACAAGAAAGCTTTACTCCAAGGAAACCGAAAAAATAGCATTGTGACTGAGCGCTTGGTTGGAAACCGACCGAGATCTTTGGCTAGCATTCACCCGGAAATCAATCAAACAAACGAACAAAAACGCGAAACAACCCCATTGCCATGGCAAATTCCTGATGAATCTGAAACAGAGCAGAAGAAAACGGAAGTAGCTCCGCTAAAAGGAAACACAAGTTCACATAAAGTCACGCGGACACACACTGGCAAAACACCTCCTCCGCCCTACAAAGAGGTGGACGACACAATTTATCTGAGTGGTCCTCAACATCCGGGGTACCCAAGTTCCGGTCACACTTATCACACAAAGAAGCAAGAATATTCTCCATTGGAACTCACCAAACAATTATTACGGATTGGAGAGGACGACAAGAACATAATCAAAGGAAGAAAGAAAAGGCTGGTGTTTACTACAGACTAACATGTATTGCGTCCAGTGCTTCAGAAGTCCAAAATGTGATATGTATATATATAACCCCTGAAATTCTATTTTTGATGAACAAACACAATTTATTTCAACACCGAAATGACTTTTAATCCAACACTTTCTTCTATTTTTTAAATAATCGTTTTTCATAGCATTAATAGATTTTCTTAAAGGTGACATTGTCTCACTTGTTGCGTTTTAAATCGGGCACCCGTTATCTTTAAAATGACGAGGAATAGAACTTTTCCTAGTGAGTAAATTTTAGAATAGTATAAATCATTATATAATTATAATATTTCGATGAAATGTTTATGGATTTTAAAGAAAAAAAATGAAAAATATTCATATAACATAAGAACATTGCATGAGATAATTGTTGAAGAGTAAGGCAGTTTGTTCTATACATTTTTATCATTTGAATTCTGAATCTATAATTTTTATGTTTGTAAATATATAGAGTTTGTAAATGTCATTCAGAAAATGCATAGAAATTGTCGCTCTTCGTCCTATTACTTTTGAAGAAATTTAAGATTAACACATTTTCCTATGTAAAAATATTTATTTTGTTGATGTGTGAAATTTCTTTTAATCCAATGGAACTCATGTTACATTATTTAAAAATCAACGTTTTTGTCAACGTTTAAGTTCAAAACATAACGTCATGACAATTTCTCAAAAATACACCGTCTGTTTATATCACAGACAGTTTGTGGCACCTTACCCATTTATTAAACAAGTGTATCTAACCACTTTATACTTAGTTTGTTAACAACTGATTGAATATCAAGATAATTCGACAGTGTCTTCATTTTTATAAACAGCGTAACTCAGCTTTCACGTCAGATTGACCGGTCGACAGTGTTGCTAACTCCTCCATGGCATCTGATTCCATCTCTGATGTTTTTAGAGGTCCAAGTTTGCTCTGCTCCAAAGTATTGTTGCAGTATTGTTTCAGTGAAGTTTGAGCTTCATATTTCATTTCACTAGTTTGCAACTGTGAAGCGCACATTCGGGACAATAGATAATATCATAATTCGGCATATGAAATGAAGAAACCCATTCTAAACTTGAGTGTTTGATCTTTATTATTTTGTTTATATACATTTTATAGTATATAGTGATTACATTACTAATTTTTGACGTGCTCTGATACATCTTTTTGCATTTAATTATTTAAAAAATTTTAAAATTCAAATCATGATAAATAATTTTTTTTAATTCAAACAATAGTGATTTATTGATGAAATGTTTCTTCGAATTTTGTCATAATATTGAACAAATATGAATAACATAACTCTACGAATTTTGAATGACCCTCCTATTTATAGTTTGTTTATGATATCAAGAAGCAAAGCTAATAAAAGTTTCTAACTCTTTGCACAGCACTTAGCAATATTTCCCAAAAAGTAGATAGGTTTCTTATTGATTTTGGTTGTAAAACTTTAAGATGAAAATAGAGATCTCATGATTTCAATTTTAGACGCTTAATACACTGTGAGAGAAATCTTTCAACAAAATATGCATGTTTTGATGACTTTGTAAATACAACCTATCGTTGAACGCATTTTTTTCTGATCTGTTTCATACAATTTGTTAGGTCATTGCTTTTAGACTTATACTAAATTTAACCACGAAGTACTCTATTCACCTGATCAATACATAGGGCTCACGGCGAATGTGACCTGTTAAAAGGGATGCTTACTCCTCCTAGGCACCTGATCCCACCTTTGGTGTCCAGATTTTGCCCTGTTCACGATTTGTTTTGTTTACTAGATTTATGAGACTGATCACTGTCCGTTATCTTCACCTTTTACCTTTGCCAAGGATCTATTATTATATTTCAAATATTATTCATACGTTTTGTATTGCTTGACAAATGTGCACATTATATTCTAGGGTCAAAATTGGTTGTAAAATTGCCTATTTTACTTTCTTTCTCAACTTATTTTGTTATTATAATATGTTACGCCATTCATAATCAACGTTCAAACACTTACAAAAATTATAAGACATGCATATTCCAGTGTGTAATCTTAATATTGAAATAGACAAAAAACACTGCTCAGTCAATCCACTATTTTAACGAAGCATTATGGACATCTTTGATCAGTAGAAGTGGTATTGTAACAATGTACCGGATATATTCCCTACTCAGTAAATGTGGTATTGGAAAAAAAACCCACAGAGACATTCCCTATTCAGTAAACACAGTATTGTAATAATACACCACAGACATTAACTACTAAATGAAAGTGTTATTGTAACAATCTACCACAGACATTTTGAACTTACTTAATGTCATTTTATAACAATCTACCACAGACATTCCCTAATCAGTAGATGTGGTATTGTAACAAGCCACCATACACTATCCTATTCAGTATTTGTGATATCGTAAGATTTTCTTACTCAGTATATGTGGTATTGTAACAATCCATATCAGAAAATCCCTACTCACTAGATGTGGAATTGTAGCAATGCCCCACAAACATTATCTGCTCAGTAGATTGTTATTGTGATACATGTAATCCACCATAAACATTCCCTACTCACAAAATGTGCTATTGTAAAAATCCACCACAGATGTACCCTAATTGTGGTATTGTACCATTCCCTACTCAGCAGATGTGGCATTGTAATATTCCCTACTCAATAGATGCTGTATAGTAACATCCCACACTCAGTAGCTCAGTAGATGCTGTATTGTAACATTCCCTACAGACATTTTCCTACTCAGTAGATGCTGTATTGTAACATACCCTACTCAGTAAATGCTATATTGTAACATTTCCTACTCAGTAGATATAGCATTGTAACATTCCCATCTCAATAGATATGGTATTGTAATATTCGATACTCAGTAGATGCTGTATTATAACATTTCCTACTCGGTAGATGCTATATTGTAATATTCCCTACTCAGTAAATGTGGTATTGTAACATTCCCTACTCAATAGATGTGGTATTGTAGATTTCCCTACTCAGTAGATGCTGTGTTGTTACATTCCCTACACAGTAGATGTGGTGTTATAACATTCCCTACTCAAAAGATGTGGTATTGTAACATTCCCTACTCAGTAGATGCTGTATTATAACATTCTCTATTCAGTAGATGTGGTATTGTAACATTACCCACTCAGTAGATACTGTATTATAACATTCCTACTCAGTAGATGCTATATTGTGATATTCTCTACTCAGTAGATGCTGTATTATAACATTCCCTACTCAGTAGATGTGTAGATGTGGTACTGTAACATTCCCTACTCAGTAGATGTGGTATTGTAGATTTCCTTACTCACTAGATGCTGTGTTGTAACATTCTCTACTTAGTAGACGTGGTATTGTTACATTCCTTAGAATACTATGTATTAGTCTTGTAAACTTGAGTTTAACTTCATTTGGAGTTTATAAATCATACTTATAAAGAGAGTATACAAAATTTAGATTAGTTATGCGTTTTTTGCATTCATATCAAGCTGAAGAGCAAAGCTAAAAAAACTGCTAGTAGGTATTTCGAAAAGAAAGCCTTGATTTGAATACACGAATGATTGCATTAACAATATTTCGACTCTTTAAACACCCTTCGTCCTTTAATAAACCTTTAAATGAGGTTTGGACACCTACTTAGTACAGAATATCAAAAAAGTTTAAAATGCTAAATCGTATATATTGTTTAGTTTACTTAAGGTCAGACGATACGTTCCTCAAATATCTGTTTTGTATATCTTTGTATTTTATGGAAAATATTCCAAATTTTAATTACCTTCTGATTTCTAAACTTGTTTCAAATTGTCTTTAAAAAACCGAAACTTTAAAAAATGTGATATTGGCAAATTAAGTTCTTTCCAAAAGGATTTTATAGGAAACAACATCCTCTGTATCTTGCACAAATGCCTGGTAAGGTACCTCAATTTTTTGCGAGTAAACATGTTAAAGTACCAATACTTCAATGACAAATTCTTAGAAAAAATTATATATTATTGTATCGTATTGGAACATATCGTCTGTCCTTAATTGCATATGTACTATGATAAAGTTCTGAGTACACGTCTAAATATGCATCCTTCCATCGGTAAAGCCCCAACAAGAGTACAAAAACTTGATAGGAGTAAAACCCCCAAAAGGCAGGTTGCATCCCCAAAAACGACAAGCGGCAGACGGTTTTAGAGGCAAAAATGGGATTCTTCGGGCGACGGTGAAAATCAAACTGCGGCTTAGCGCTCGATGATCGGGTGATGATTGGCCGATTTATAGATATCTAAACATTTAAAGTCATAGGTGTTCCTGGGAATTAAAGTTACTGCTCCGCGTCGCCCGTTACTACTGTTGGCCGATCATGTTTTTTCAGCCGACGATACGAGAAAATTTGGTCGTGCAGCCATCGGCTTACATGTGACCAAGCTATAAAGCAAACAAACAACAAAACCAACCTATTATTATATCTCCTATTTGAACTAAAAGGTCAGTAGCTTTGGCCTCCTTCTCAGGAATATATTCAATCTATTTAAAAGTGTTACAAATCATCTTTTGAATCATCACCACCAGCATACTAGATATATATACTTCCTACTCAACTTAGGCAGGACGGACGATATTTGCATTTTCTTTTCCTATATATTGTCTTCCTGTTGACTATTTTTGTTTTACAAAACCTTAAGATGTTTAAACCGTGTTATCCCTGTGAATATTTTAATAACTTCTCTCATTAAATTTGTCCACCATTTGTCCACCATTCTGAAACGGACACATTCTGAACATAATGATGTTTCATTCATCTTTTGTTTAAATTTCATGCAAGACTTCAGCTGAATTTGCCCTAATTTTCAAATGTTGTTCTCAGTTTATTTACAATTATCATCATGATCTTTGAAATTGTAATTTTCTGTCTACCTTTATTTTCTTTTCTGGCTTTGAATTTATCAAATTGTCCTTGTATAATACAGAGGACTGAGGTATGTTCTTGCGTCAAAACACGATAATCATGATTATGAACAGTTGTCTGGGGGTAGGGAAAAACATGATAATCATGATTATAAGCAGTTGTCTGAGGGTAGGGAAAAACATGATAATCATGATTATAAGCAGTTGTTTGGGGGTAGGGACAAACATGATAATCATGATTATGAACAGTTGTCTGGGGGTAGGGAAAAACATGATAATCATGATTATGAACAGTTGTCTGGGGGTAGGGAAAAACATGATAATCATGATTATGAACAGTTGTCTGGGGGTAGGGAAAAACATGATAATCATGATTATAAGCAGTTGTCTGGGGGTAGGGGAAAACATGATAATCATGATTATAAGCAGTTGTCTGGGGGTAGGGGAAAACATGATAATCATGATTATACAAAGTTGTCGGGGGTGGGGGGGGGGGTGGGGGTGGGGGTTACGGACAAAAACGAAGATTTAAAACATTTTAAGCTCACATAGCTTAAGATCAAGTGCGCTTTCCTGATCAAAGGGGTCTGATATGTGTTTGTCTATCGTGTGTTGTTTGTAAGCTTTTCACATTTTCAACCTCTTCCGAACCACAGGATTTTTTTCAAATAAATATGGCACAAAATATACTTGGCGTGAGGGGGATTCACATTTGTTCGTATGAAGGTCCACTCCTTTTTCATCGAGAGATAATAAAAAAAAAACTAGTAGAAATTTGGTGAAAATGATGTAATCATTTAAAAAAAATCTTCTTTTCAAAAACCACTGTCCCAAAAAAGACAAAACATATAATAGTAATTCTATATGCAGAGTAGATGCAGTTTTGTTGATGTCATGGTCCCTGGGGTAGGGTGGGGCAACAGTAAGGGAAAAAAAATTTGACATAATCCTCTCAAGAACAACAGGCCCATGATATTGATAAGCAATTATTTTGGGGAAGTGCTGATTCAAGTTTGTTTTTTTTCCCCAAATCATTGCCCCCGGAGATTTGTTGGGGCCAAATATGGATTCACTTTTAAATTTCGGCACATGAAGGAAAAGTATTTTAAAATCTTCTTCTCTAGCATAGTAGTCCACAATAAGGTATAAAAGTTGTATATGTGAATATACTAAAGAAATCTTTAAAACTATTCCTTTCAAATACAACAAAACCATAATTAATGGTATTAGTATGTAAAAATTCTCAAACAATGCAGATTCAGGTTGTTTCAATCATGACCCCAGGGGAATGGTGGGGCAACAATATGGTGTCAATTTCTTTTATAGGAAAA